TTACATTATAACAAGCCACCTGTGAACGCAGCTGTGTGTGTGTGTGTGTGTGTGTGTGTGTGTGTGTGTGTGTAATTGTGCTCCTGAGTATAAGCCTGTCAGGCACTATTGCTATAATGTTACTGTAACAGTTCAGTACAGTGTGTCTCCACCGGCCCAATGCCAAACTCTATACAGTGGTTCCTCAGTGTAAACTAATGCACTCCTGTCTGCCAACCCTTGCCTCATCTGTTATCATTTAATTTGCTTTAAAAGCAAAACCCATTTAACATCATGCAGTTGAGGCATTATAGAGGGCTGTGCAATGTGATGGAGGAAACATAATCGCTTTGCTGCTTTTATCTTTTTTTCACTGCAGATATCCGTGTAGTTGTCAGAAAAATCTTATATTGAACCGGCTGGAATTAAAACGTGAGGTGGATGCAAACAAAAGCACCTCTTTGGCAATTTTTTGGCTGGAATGAATCTCATCTTATAGTATAATTATAAGCAACAACTTTGTGTGAAATCATTAAAATTCTGCGTTTGATATCAATGTACTGCATGCTGTTGACAAATGCAGGTGAATCATTATAGATACACACAAACCCAGATGAGAAAAGCATCTAGATCTCCTAACATCAATAGTCAGGCAAATGCTCCAAGTTTCAAACCAAATCAAACTACATACAACTCCTGAGTATTTCACATACTCCGTCTTTACAATCTTTAATCTCTCTCCCTCTATCTCAGTCGGTCTCTCTCACACTCTCACATACACTTTGAAGTGGAAGTGTTGCAAAGTGTGGGAGGCGGGCGGGATATAATTCGAGCTCAATAATGTCAAGATATACGCCAGTTAGTTTGAACTCTGGAAATATGCTCATGTCAGAGCTTATCTTACTTATCTTGGTGAAGTTGTCCCAGGCGCATTAGGACTCTGTGTGGAAGAACTGTGGTTGAAATAGAGCAACCATCAGAGCCCAGGCTGGGACAGACAGCAGGCACACAACAGCGATTCTTCAGGGACTCAGCTCGGCTCACACTCAGGCCTTTTTACATCTCCTGACTAAAAGAGTACAGCTCTTATATTCGCCAGTCTTCTCTCCAGCCTGTAGAACAGAATCCATGACATTAACTTCCTGGAGTGTCACAGATATCCTCTGCTCATTTTATTGGCTTCCAGTAATGTCTTACAACTAATTCACATCCTTGTGCTAGCCTTTAAGGATCACAGGCGCCTTCTGCCACTGTGTGGCTTTAAAAGTTTAGTAGCAACGTGCAGCAATTTCCTGTTCCTTTGGCACTTCAGCCTCCTTTGCTGCCTTTTCTTCTGTTAGCAAAAAGTCTTACCACTGCAAAAATACTTAATTACAAGTAAGCAAGATTACTTCTTTCAAAGTAAAAAATAATGTAAAACTATAAAAAGTAGACTGCGTTACTGTTCTGCTTAACCAAGGTGGTTCTAGGTTTTACTACTTTATTGATTAATCTGTAGTTTAACCCTTTGCTTTCCTAAAGTGGCACAAGTCAAATATTACATTTTATGACATGGTAAATAAGGATGTAAGAAACAGGAAAATATTTCTAACGTCATTTCTATTCATTGCTTTGAACTGCTTTTTGACATACATTTAAAATAATGTTTTTCTATTTTTTTTTTTTAATCAAACAAGCTAAAACGAAAATGTTTGCTGTAGCTGCAAATAACTAATAACTGAAATGGCACAAAAGACTCAGACTAAAGAGAGTTTTTCAAGTGATCACAAGACCAAAATGCTGGAAGCATTGGTATCATCTCTAACAGCATATCACATGAAAAGTGACTACAGCTGTCAGATTAATGCAGAAGAGACATAAGTATGTTTTATCTATACAAAGTGGCACAAAGTGAAAGATAAGCAGGATCAAATGGAAACATTTAAATAATTCATACCATATCAAAACTGTACACTTGATCTTAGGTAATTACCTCCCAAATTCTGTATAAATGTAATCCATGCATCCATACATCCCTTCTCTTCTGCTTATCCTTGTCAGGGTCTGGTAGGGTGGTGGTGGTGGTGGGGGGGGG